GAGAGAGCAGACTAAATTGAGTCGAAAAGTCTTTTATCATTTTATAATTTTTGCAATAGTTAACAAAATATTAATTAGTAAAAATTGCCACTATTGGTCTAGAATAATTTTTTATTCAAATACTTTACAGAAAAACTGCAAGAGACAAAAATCATTTATTTTCTTTTTATAAAGTTCTGAGAATTTTTTTAGAATTTTTTAATATCGTATTTTCTCATGTTGGTAAAAATAAGAAATACAGTACTAAAAAGTTGATAAAAAATTCTTAGAGTTCTATGAGAAGAAAATAATGATTTTTGTCTTTTGCAATTTTTCTATAAAGTTGATAGTATTTGAGTGAAAAATTATTCAAGACCAATATTTGGAAATTTTTAGTAATTAATATCTTGTTAACTATTGTTTTTTACTTTGTAATAAAAGATAACAATTGAATAAATTTTTTGACAACTATCCAGACTTTTACTTACCATACGAATATATGGATTGTCTCCCAAACACGTCTGACACAATATTGGGAATTCCTATACAAGAAAAACATGCCAATGAAGGCAATATGAAATAAAAATGACACCATTGTTACAAAATAAAGGCTCGAATTGAAAGTGAAAAATCTTTTTATGCTCACCGCATCTTCCCAATTTTGTCTATTATATGTATTGGTGGTTTTTGATGTTGCCATTGCACGTTAATTTATTTTAGAACAATACTTCCACCATTTGCAAAATTACTTGCAACACTGTTTTTTCAATGAGTTTTGGAATGCAGTCTATCACCGTAAAAAAACAATGACTATAACATCAGAGAGAAACCTAAGAGAGAGCATGACGGCTCAAAACCTGTATCGGCAAAATGCTGCCGCATACTACTGCCCCCTGACAAAGAGGATCCAAACTACATAACAAGGTCCACTTTTCTGAGAGTACAATGCAGTGCATTAATTCGCAGGATCATAGTAGCGGCACAGTATATACAGTAGCGCAACTCTCCCGATGTTATGTTGATCAAAATGGAGTGCGCATGCATGAAATAAGCAAGTCCCGTCTCCTCTCTTTTTTTATTGTTCTCTCTCTTTCTCTCTCTATTTAAATAAGCGTTTCAATGTTCCACTTAAACAATTTGTCTTTTATGGTCAAGCATATATGGTTCAGAGTAGAAATTTAGAGGAAAGTATTACGTATATTGTCTATTTGGAGAAATGTTGAGTGAGAAATCTCGAGAGATTGGTCTAATTTTTGTGAAAAAGTAAACAAAAAGTGACATAGAAAATCGAGCAAAAAGGATTTCTTTTTATTTATTGTATTTTAAATTTATTTTTTGGACATACATGTATATAAATTTCTTTTATATCTCTCAGCTTTCTCATAACATTTTCATAGATATATAATTACATAATATTTCTTTTATACAAATATACATTTTTAAGTTAATTTAATATTTTTCCTAATATTTTTTTACATTTTCTCTTTATTTTTCAATATGTTTACAATTTATTTTTATTAATTTTCATTAAGTTTAGATTATTTCATTGTAATAGTAGATTTATTCGTTTGTATACGTTGCATGCTCTAATATGCTCCTATAACAGTTCTTATTTACTCCAACGCATTTGGAGTGCGATGCGAATAAATCTAGTGAATTTTGATAGAGCGAAAAAAGGATGAAAAGAGAAAGAAATTTAGGTGGTAATCATGGCAACGCTAGATAACTTGCTTATTTCACTCATGCGCACTCCATTTTGGCCAACACTAACATCAAAGGTGCCGACAGGGAGTTGCACTACTGTATGTACTGTGGTAGCGGCCCGACTTATCGAAAATAAGAAAATGCAGTACTAAAAAGTTGATAAAAAATTCTGAAGAAATTCTTAGTTCTATGAAAAAAAAAAATGATTTTTGTCTCTTGCAGTCTGTAAAGTTGATAGTATTTGAGTAAAAAATAAACGTCGATAAGTCGATAATTGGACCGCTACTATGATCCAGCGATTTAATGCACTACAATGTACACAGATTCACTTATCAAGACTGCAGATGATAAATCGATATTTGATTCATAAAATCGTGTTGTATCCACAACCTGTGGATCAGAAATACTCATCTCTGCAATTATATGTATGTCTATTTACATGAGCGTGATTTTTATATTTCACTTAAAAGGATTAACATTAAGGTCGTTTTATACCTATTTTATAAATATGTTTATATATATTTTATTAATAGATATTTATTATACATAAACTATATAAGTATGAAAGTTGTGTTTCAAGCATTTTATTTATATTAAACGCATTATTATAGTTTATTTACTTTATTTCCCAGGAAAAAATATTCTGTATATAATTATGTAAAATTATATAACATTATATATAATTTTATATATTTCCCAGATAGCCAAATCTAAAGAGACAGATTTTGAGCAAAGTCTGCTACCAATTTTTAATTGCAGAAAGGCAACAAATTGTACACAGAGTTTGTACTATCAGACAATGACCTAGTTTCCACCAAGGTTCAATTCGAATCAGAATGTAAGAATCAATCAACTACAGTCGAGCATTCCCTTGTCGTTCGACTGTAACAAGGGAATACTCGACTGTAGTTGGTTGGTTTTTACATTCTGATCCGGATTAAACCCTCGGTGAAAACTAGGCCAATGTCAACAAACTGCTGTCAAAAATATGACAAAGCCTGATGACATGCTATATTAACAAATTGATGACAGAAACCGAGCAGAGTCTGCCATGATGTAAGAGAACAAGAAGCGAAATCCAGGCGTTGTTCGACATGGACTGGGTTTGGGGAGACGCTATTAGCGCTATTTGTATCATTGTATCTTCATCGTCCATTAAACATGAAACAAGGATAGTGGTTGGTATTCATAGTCAGATTTTATATTCAAGACCATTTTAAATTTAGCCTTGAGGTGTCATGAATCAATCAGAAGGTTACATGAGCGTTTTAAGACATTACTTAAGACAGTCTTGAAATAAAAACTGAATACCAGCCAGTATGACACAAATAGCGTTGATAGCGCGCTGTCCGAACGCAGTCATGATCTTAAACTTTGATTATGGGCCGGTTTCACCAACTCTGATCAAGCTTAATTGTGATTAACTGTCAGCTGCAATTGGTCGATTCTACTAAACAGCAAACGCGATTGATCAGTCAACGGCGATTAAGCTAACTGCCATTGGTGAAATTGGCCCTATAGAAATTGGACTGCTAGTCCTGAATTGCTAGCAACAAAATTTACGTATAATGAACTAGACTCCCTATAAGAGAATTGCGTCAATGTGAAGTAAAATGGCGTCTAACAAAAACTCTATTAGAGTCTGAACTTCTTCACTACGTAGAGTATAGAATCATGCTTTGATTAATAAAATGATGAGATTATTTTAGATGTATCAAAATTATAAATAGGTAAGCTTATACATTATTATAAAGGTTTCAAATTAAAAATATATAAAAAATACAGATTATGCGGTAGAAAAGCGTCGAAAGTGACATTCTAACCTTGTCATCAATCATATAATTTTAATGTCTTCTTCGCAGAAAACATGATTAAAACATGATTAAAATATATAAAAAAAGGCGTTTAAAATTATCAGTATATAACAGTTTGAAGCAAGACATTTTATTGTAAAATAAAAGTATTGTTAAATAAAAGTGTTACTTTATTATTGTTTCATATTATCATTTCAATTCTAAAAGTGTAAAAGTTCAATTGTAGAAAACAGATCTATTTCTATAAATATTTTGTAATTTAACATAAATTCTACTTGTCAATATTATATAATTTAACGTAAATTCTACTCTCACAATTTCTAAAATTTAAATCACCACGTTTACGATACTCAAAATGGGGATATAATAGCATCAATGATTGGTTCCGCCATTTTACTTCAAAATCAATAAAAATTTTATCAAGATTGATGCGACTCTCTTATAGAGACTCTACTTCGCAGAAAGAATAAACAAGCAAGATCTATGGTACCTGCATAAACAAACGCATCCCTTACGTATACTAACGCATGGTGGAAGGATTACATGGTGTGCTCAGTTTGCAAGGGTCTCTCTCTCTTTAAAGTTAAGCCCATGGCACATACAAGAACATAAGGCCATAACACGTAAGTAGTAAGCGAATTGGCCAATCACAGTAGAGATGGTAATGCAGTAGCGAATCCAATGTTGCGATTTTCTTACTGATTACGCGTCTTACGGCATTAAGTTTTTCTATGTGCTCTCAGCTTTAGCGCTCTCTGTTGTTTCTCTGCTTTTCGATCGTTCCACAAGGCCTATAACTATGAAATGCGAAATATGGAGCAGTATGTTTTTATTTTAAAACAATCTTAAATATAATATCTTAAGATGTTAATACAGTCACCGACGAGATACTATTAAAGACCGTCAACCCTGGGCAACTTTTCAGTATAAAAAGGCCCCAAGGCCCGGAGATAATTGACATTATCGACAATTGATATAAATTTGTTATTATTGACATAAATATTTGGCTCATACATTATTAAATTTATAATTTTTTATTACATAAATGTTCCATAAATAAATATACATACTTGTAAAGATATAATATCCTATATACGAGGGTCGTTTGAAAAGTCCGTGCAAAGTCACTGCTGATGGCACTACTGGCGCGTATCAAGGTTAGATTTAGTAGAAGAGATGCTAGAGTTAGCATCTCTTGGAGGAACACACACCAAGTTACAGCCAGATCGGTCTATTTGTTTATGTTTGGCGTTCATTTGAATCGAGAAAGTCGAGTGATTTTCAATAACGCACCAGCTCACACCTCAGCAGTTGTGGTCACAAAATTAATGCAATTAGGGTTCCAACTTGTCTCACATCCCCCCTATTCTCCAGACTTGGCTCCCTCGGACTACTATTTGTTCCCCAATATGAAGAAATGGCTGGCGGGAAAAAGATTTTATGGAAACGAGGACGTGATTGCAGAAACAAACCCCCCTCGACTTCCTCGATTCAAATGAATGCCAAACACAAACAAATAGACCGATCTGGCTGTAACTTGGTGTGTGTTCCTCCAAGAGATGCTACTAACTAAATCTAACCTTGATACGCGCCAGTAGTGCCATCAGCAGTGACTTTGCACGGACTTTTCGAACGACCCTCGTATTGCAGAAAAATTACAATTTTTTCTCTGCAGTTATCATCTCTGATAATCAAACTTTGACGATAACATTAAAATTACAATTTAAAAAAAAATCGAGTATTATTGAGTTTTAAATGCATAAATACGTGTACCAAACTAATAAATCATAAAATTAGTACAATATTATCAGTTTTTAACTCTTAATTACTTACAATATTCACAAGGACGCGAACTCCCGTAAGGAGATCTTTAATAGTATCTCGTCGGTGATACAATCCTCGGATTGGCTTACACATCTTAAAATTGATTTAAGACAGTTTTAAATGTTACGATTTGTTCAATTCCGAAGATCAGTGACCAAGTATCAGCCAGTTAGGCTGCGAGGCCAATTAAAAGAAGAAGAAGAAAAAGAACATAGCGCTGCGGCGAGTCGGAATAACAAATATCCTAACTAAAATCTCGAATTTTAACGCTTAATTTCTCAATTCACGAGGCCAACCGCTGCATTTTTTTGCCAGATTCTTTTATTTTGAATAAAAACGCGTCGAATGAGTACATTTTTATTAAGATTCTAGAGTAGGATCCGATTCTAAATAATTTTTAGATTATGGACTGCACCTCCAATTTTGGTGAAATTAGGCTCATTCGACGCGTTTTTGCTCGAAACGAAAGAATTTGAAAAAAAAAGGTTAGATCGGCCTTGCGAACCGAGATATTAAGCATTAAAGTTGACGACTATTTATGTTAGAAAATCTATCATAGCGACGAGATGCAGTGACACGACTGGCCATGTTTATGCGTCGCGATTATGTACAATATATAATTGAGGCTAGAATAAGCAATTTCTGCTTAAATTACACAAAATTCTCTTCTTTAAAAACACATTCTCTGCTTTAAGAATACAAATTATTTCCTATACAATTTTTATTTTTACAGCAGTTAATTTGTTTTGATTAGGTATTTGTTTGTTCTAAAAGTACAAATTCTCTACTTTAAAAACAATTTTCTACTGTAAAAACAAAAATAGAATATATAGAAAATAATTTGTATTTTTAAAGCATAGAGAGAATATGTTTTTAAGAAGTAGAGAATTTGCTTTTAAAAGAATTTATGTAATTGAAGTAGAAAATACTTATTCTAGCCTCAATTACATGTTGTGCATGACCGCGGCGCATAGCGTGTCCAGTCATGTCGCTGTATCTCACTGCTACGACAGATTTCTTAATCTCAATATTCGTCAACTTTAATGCTCAATCTCTTGGTTCGTGAGGCCGACCTAACATTTTTTCTTGCGTTTCGAGCAAAAAACGCGTCGAATGAGCTTAAATTCATTAAAATCGTAGGTGAGGACCGTATTTTACATATCGAACTATTTTTAAACAATAATTATGTTAATAAGCATATTGTCCTTAAAGCCAAATATAAAATGGGAATCCCTAACTAATTAAATTGAAACTAATTAGATTTAAATTAGGCCATTAGCTGTAATGTCATATATTTTCAAAATTAATATTTATTGATATTTTTTTATTGCAAAAAAATGGAAAAAAATGCAGGGGGTTCACTTTGATAACGATCATCAAGCGCTATCTGAAACATAGGTTTTCGCATAAAGAAGTCAACATAAATACATGTCGCGTAAATTTAACCCAGTCAAGTGACACAAATTATACATGAGAAAGTCATCTATCACAGCATGAGCGTATATTAGGTAAATTAAACGCATTTAGTTCTTAGATGTGAACTTAGATTACTGTTTAGAAGAAGTCATTTATTAATATTTTTATTGTTAAACTACAAAATTTGTACAAAATAAATGTTCATAACATAACAATTATGTCTTAACTACGTAAAATACAACTGTTTATTCTTAACACATACTTTCTTTACATTTTTCTACAGTTTTGCAATTTCTCCATGCTTTCATATATGTTCTTGCGATTTCTCCATGCTTTCATATATGTTCTTGCGATTTCTCCATGCTTTCATATATGTTCTTGCGATTTCTCCATGCTTTCATATATGTTCTTGCGATTTCTCCATGCTTTCATATATGTTCTTGCGATTTCTCCATGCTTTCATATATGTTCTTGCGATTTCTCCATGCTTTCATATATGTTCTTGCGATTTCTCCATGCTTTCATATATGTTCTTGCGATTTCTCCATGCTTTCATATATGTTCTTGCGATTTCTCCATGCTTTCATATATGTTCTTGCGATTTCTCCATGCTTTCATATATGTTCTTGGATGAATAGGTAAAAATCCAGCGAGTCCTAATAAATCTGCAACAGGTGTGGACATTTGTGCTCCTTTGGCAATCCAATATTGTATTCTTTCAAAATTGAAGGATACTAATTTTTCATTATGCATATTTGGAATAGGATCATATACACCAACTTGTTCTATTGGTGGTTTTCTTTCTCCTTTTTTTACCTACAACAAAAATTAATTTATTGATTCTAGCTATAGAAGAATTTTTCTCTTTCTAGTTAAGATTTTTATACTTGAGCCGATTCTACAATGAGTCGGTAGTTTGTAATCAGAAGTTCTAAGTCTTAAAAAGGTGTAAAACGACTTCTCACAGCAATGAGTCATTTAGCTCGACAATGAAAAGGAATAAAGTTGAATTTGGACAATTTTGAAAAAATCGGTAGTGGTAGGACCTCAGCACAAAGATGGTTGTAACGATTCATGAAACTTTAGTCATAGTCACAGGTTAACACACAATGTTTTGATCAATCACTTACATTTCATGTTTCAATTAAGGACATCTTTGTGTTTAAGCCCTTAAGTCTGATTGCACCAACGTTTTGACTTTAAGCAAGACTTAACTCTACTGAAAAAAATTATGTCAAAAGTAAGATAATTTGAAAAATCATATATTAAAAATAATTTTATTATATGATTTTAGTTTTCAAATTTTAAAGAATTGAATAATAGAAATAGAAGAAAAAAGAACATGTCATCATGTGACTTTTCAAATTAGTGATTTTTAAAAATCATATACTGATCTGGAACAATTCATTACATGATTTATGTTTTTTAATTACATGAATTTCATCATGCAACTGTGTGATGTGATTTTTTTCAATAGAGAAAAAAACTGTCTCGTTTTAAATCAAAAGAGAGACAGAAACAAAGAGAATTTTATGCCTTCCTGAAAGTCAAAGTAACATTGGTGCTTAGTCATACAAGTTAGTTGCTGGCCAATTTGAATAATTCACCGATACAGCTTGTACAACTAAGACTACCAATTTTCTTAAGGCTGATCAAATTCGACTTTATTCCTTCCCATTAATCGAGATAAATGACTCCCTGCACAATTAACAACTTGTAAATGCAAAAAATCATAGTCGCCTATTTAGATTAAGACGCGTTAAGATTTAAGATTTCCGATTATCGACTCATTGCAGAATCAGTTTTAAAAGAAAATTGTCTCAATTTACATCAATCACAACGATATGATAAAACGGTCTATTAGTGCAACCATAACGAGCGAATCTTATTGCTTTACTGAATGGCGTAATAACACCTGTCCCAGATGAACAGTGTAAAGGTAGTCGAGGCATATTTGTACGTGTTAATATTAAAAAATCACCGTTTTTATACAATTACTTGTTTACACTAGACTATCTTTTAAATCAGAAATTGGCTTAGGGCTTCTGTTACCATAGATTATCTAAGAAAATAGACAACCAACTCCCTTACTTTACTTGGAACAATATTTTGAACGCCACCTAGGCGAATATACATAAATGAATTAATATTCGATTACATGACATTTTTTCGAAAAATTGAAAAATGGTACTAACAAAAACCCCTAGACAACACGATTTTAATTTGTACGGATTAGTAACACCGATGAAGGAAGTAGCAAAGCTAATCACACATTTTTTGTAACACACATTCTACAATAAGTCATAAATCAGAAGTTAGAAGCTGGAAATTGACCAATTACAGTCATCAATTTTCAATTTCTAACTTCTGATTTACGACTAATGGCTTATTATAGAATGGCCATTATAGTTACAGATGACCAAATCGAGGAACGCGATTGGTCGAAAAACGTTATGATTTTTTTACGGTTAAGCGGGGAGCACATATTCTTGCATAGCACATAACACGTAATACATAAGAAAATGTACTAATCAACTTTGATGATCTCCGTTTTTTTTCTTATCATGAAATAAAGAACTCACATTAGTTAAATTTCTTATGCATTACGTGTTATGCGTTATTCCAGAGTCTGTACTCTCCGCTTTACACGCATTTCTATCTACAATAAGCCATTAGTTATAAATCAGAAGTTAGAAGCGGATTTATAACTATATATATAGGTTTTTAAGCCTTAAGCCATAAGGAATGGACGAATCACAATCAATTATTCTCCTCGCATTCGACTGCAATTGATCAATTTCTTACGGCTTGAGATTTAAAACATCTATTGGAGATCCAGACTAAGGGGCTTCGCACAATAAAAAAAAACAAAGAACAGAGAACAAAGAATAAGAATTTAACCTATTAGAAACTGTGTATTCCACATATACATGATTTCTGATAGATTGAAATTCTTATTCTTTGTTTCCTGTTTCTTTTATTGTGCGGAACCCCTAATAATCGAGCTAACGAACTAACTAGCCGTAACTAGCTTTAAGCTAATCACGCAGTGAGTACAGTAACAGTACAGTAACAGTATGATTTTCAATCAATCGTGTTGGTCGATTGTTACTATTACGGTTACGGATGATCGAATCGAGCAACGCGATTGGTCGAAAACCTACGTTAAGTTTATGGTTATTATGTGCAACTAACTTAAGTCCATAAGTTCGTCCATAAAGATAAATTTTCATGATCGAAATGGACGCTTGATATTCGTCAATTCTGACTCAGATGATCTTTTTTGTAACTAAAACAGCCAGTTTGAGCAGCTCGTGAAAATTTACTTTTAGTCCATACCACAAACTTATGGACTTATTACTTCAACAGTGGCCTAGTTTCCATTGAGAATTTAAACCGGATCAGAATGTAAGAACCAACCAACTAGAGTCGAGTATTTCCCTGTTACAGTCGAACGACAGGGGAATGCTCGACTGTAGTTGATTGGTTCTTACATTTTGATCCAGGTTAAACCCTTGGTGGAAACTAGGCCAATGTTATTAATCCATACAAATTAAAATTGTGTTGCCTAAGGGTTTTTGTAAATACCAATATTTTTTAGTCTAGAGTCTACGATCGGTATTCATAGTCGATTCTTATTTTAAGACCATCTTAAGACGTTAATGTAGCCCTCTGATTGGTTCATGACTTCTTAAGATCGTACTTAAGACGGTCTTGAATATAAGATCTGATTATGAACCGACCTACGAGTTATGCTTTCCAATTGCTTAATACATCTTAACATATACGTACACAAGAATGTACAAGTGTATCATTGTGCACGATTTATTTGGAATAGAATGTGTACGCTGTGCATGGTTGAGAACCATTTCGGATAGAGTTAGATTAAGTATAGCTTTTTTTGTCTGTATTAAATAAAAAAAAGTAAAAGTACCGGCCACTCTAACTTCATTTATAACCGCCGCAGTTAGTAACATGTAATTGTCACTAGAAATTACTAGAAATACAAGCTCACACAGCTCGATTGAGTAGAGGGGGTCGATTCTGTATCTTCAAACAAGGTAAAAATTACAAAAGTGAGCAAATTTACTAGGTGTTGACCAATGAAATTATCAGTATTCCAATAAATTAGCTTACTTTTAATTTTCACTTCATTTCAAGTACAGAATCGATCCCCTGTTCATGTTAAACGAAATTCCCAAATATTTTTGCACTTAAAATGAGATAGACACATATTTTGCTTTGAAAAGAGAGACAGCAAAGATGTCGAGTGCCAAAAATGCAAGCAACGCGAACAAATCTCTTATTTCGGTAAACAACAAGGATGATATGACATCTGGGGAGCACCCAGAGATGCGAATCACTCGTAACTATTTTTATACGCTTACTGACAGTTGTCGGTATTGTTGCATAGATATTTTATATAGTGAAAAAGCTGCGCAACAACATCGACAACTGTCGGTAGGCGTATAAAACAGTTACGAAATAGCGTCCCAGGTGGGAATCCGAACGCAGCTTAATGGCTCCTGATTTGCTGCTGCATTTCCGCTTTCTGCTCTTCCGTCGAAGTGTGAACGCGCCCTTATTCTTTATTCTAGGACTAGGGCATTTTGCGGTAACAGACAAAAGGTTGTTATGTCCTTTCTTAGGTTCCTCAGGTTTCTCTCTGACAATATATAGAAATCTGTGGAAAAAGCGAAGATGCTGATTGCTAAATTGAAAAAGTGCAAGCAATGCGAACAGACTTAATATGAACGTTTAGTGCAATCGATTTTGAATAAACGATACAAATGATTTTGATAGGTGTCTCATAAATTTGGTGCTTCTTAAATTCATAAATAAATTGTTTCTGTCGTGCATTCCTCGATTTTGAATTTACAAGAGATAATAGAGGATGAAACCGCTATAATTCGTTGGAATATTCAATAATTAAAAGCAATAATAAAGCGATAATCCCCGCGAAATATTAAACGAAATTGTTAAAAATCGTACAGTATCGATTGGGTGTCTGATTGGTTAAGCCAGTGCTTAACGCAAGTATGGCCGCTTTGCCGTCACCTACGCAGGTACGGAACGATTTTCACGATTTTCACGAGAATATAACATTTAATATGACTCGCACCCATTGTGAGAGCTTCTTTTGTAAAGTTTCGCCATGATTTGTACTAAACTGTCGCAGTACTTATGCGTTTTCATTGCGATATCTTATCTATCTCAGGCGGTCTAGGTCGAAACGTCCTCTTTTCGATGGCGAAGTATCAATTTATCTGTACATATTTTGATTGATAACTTTTTACTCATCGAGGAGGAAGCTTTTGTTGTTTGATTAATGCGCTATTCCAGAAACGCACAAGTCAGACTTTCTTTTAATTTAACGGTTCGTTTAACTGAATTATATGAATAAGCTTCGATAAAAAGCGTTTTTATATGTCAACGCTTATTATATATGTTACTTATTTATATTATTCATGTTGACAAATACCTACTTGTTAAACATTATTGACAATTTATGAGAAACAATTGAATATATGTATTATTTATATTGATTGTTAAGATTTGTGCAGATAAAAATAAAAAATGTATTTGAGTTTACTGCTTTTACAGGTGGCTGGATGCCATACTGCAATATATGAAGCTTATTATAATCAGGTATTATATCATTCGTTGGAAGAGCATATCTGTAGACATGCTGCTAACTGAAGAGCTCCCAGGAAAGACATTGCAATCATCATTTGTATGTAAAGTAATGTTTTAATTAGAAAATCTGCTTTTGCATTGTATCTTGTTTGCTTTATTTCCAATAAAATTTTTTAAAAAGTTGGTTGCAATGTTCTTCTGGGAATTTCTTCAATTATTGATGTATAAATATAT